GCTCTGCGGCGCCCGGGCCCCAAGGTGAGACGGAGCCGGGGCCCCTGGCGGGCCGGGGAGGGGCGGTGGGGGGCGTGAGGGAAGCGGCGGCCTGGGCGGGCGGCAGGCGCGCTCTTCCCTGCCGGGTCCAGCCGCAGGATTTCTTGACGCGCCTGTTAGTAAATAAATAAATGGATAAAGAAAAATCCTCTGAGAACTCGAGGCAAAGAGCGGACCTGTGAAGGAGACTCCCGGGACTTGACTCGGTCTCTGCTCGGAGAGTGGGGAGTTAGTCGCAGGGAAAGCGCTCGTTGTGGCGCCTACTCGCTCCGCCTGGATACTTGGGCTGCTCTTCCCAAGGCCGGAGCCCGGGCCCTCGTCTCGCCAGAGAGCGGTGCTGTTTAGCAGCTGCTGTCTCTTGTTGGGTGTAATTCAGCAGATTCAAGACTTCTTACATTGGGGCGGAGGGGCTGCAAATGAAAACCCCACTGTCTTCATGAGCACTGGTTGAGGCTTTTGTTTCCCTGCCCTGAGTATCTAACGCGATCTTGTTTTCCTTTGACTTTTCAGACTAGCCACAAGAGCTGTCCTGCCCTGGCCATTGACGCTATGGAAGACCGCATCAGCTGGTCTAGTCTATAGGATGGTAGCTCAGAGTAAGGTGGCAGCAGATAATGCAGTTGCAGCAGACCCGAGACGTCTACTTGACTCTCCAGCACGGGATCATCCACAGCCTAGAGTCTACCGCGGCTCTACCCGTCCCAGCACTGTGCAGGCGCAGAGTGAGACACACTTTCGAACCTTTCGCTCGCAGGCGGATTTCAGTAGCATCACCCGAGCGAGCGCCTTGTTGGATGCCTGTGGCTTTTATTGGGGACCTCTGACTGTCAATGCTGCCCATGAGAAACTTAAGTCTGAACCTGAGGGCACCTTCCTCATCAGGGACAGTACACAGAAGAACTGTTTCTTTGCCATCAGTGTTAAGACTGCTACTGGGCCCACCAGCATCAGAATAAACTTCCAGGGTGGATGTTTCAGTCTGGATGGCAGTAAGGAGAGTTTTGACTGTCTTTTCAAGCTGTTGGAACATCATATAAACTCCCCTCGGAAACTGCTGGTCACCCCACTGCGCAAGGTCCGTGTGCGGCCCTTGCAGGAGCTTTGCCGGAAAAGCATTGTGGCAACGTTTGGAAGAGAGCATTTAAATCAGATTCCTCTCAATCCAGTTTTAAAGGACTACCTGAAATCCTTCCCATTTCAGATCTAAGTACAGCATTACCTGTATGCATGCTTTCCAGAGTGAAAGATGCTTGAGGAAATCCAGGTTTCTGGGTTTTTAAATCTGGTCAACAAAAAGAGAACTTATTTTTGTAGCAACGTACTGTATCTGGAAATGGAACTTGAACACTTAACTTACTATGTTTACACAAACTGTTTGCACAAACCTGGGGTTTCTAAACCCTGGCATAATCCTTCTGCTGGGCAGAATATAATATTATTTTATAATATTTTTAATGAAAGTAATGTAATAAACTTTATTGTGAAAGTTTTTGAAAATAACATCTCTGGTTCTTCTTAATATCTGCTCTTTATAGCTACAAACACAACACTTTGCAATAGCTAAGTGCGGATAATGGACCAGATCTCTAGCTGGTGTAAATAGCTTAGCTTTATTGAAATTGATGAACTTCACTAGCTTCTCCTAACTAATAGGTCAGATCTTTATTTTTGGTGCCATCTACCTCAGAGGATCATGATTCCCAAGCAATATTCAGTGTAGAGACACCCATATAAAGCAGAAAACAGAGGACAGTTTTTTGTTGGAGTATTCTTCAGCTCCTACTTCTAAGAATGGTAATAAGAATAGAGTGTTTAGTGGAACATTTGGTTTTCAATTTCAATTTTTTAACATTTGATTTATTTACTATATATTTTAAAATTAGAGCTTTAGAAAAATTCTAGGTTTTACAGAGGGATTTGAATATTGCATAACCCCAATTCCCGTTTAATGGTTGGAGGGCTAGGAGTGGACGGTCTATACTTTTGTTCAAATTTGCCTAAGGCAATGTTGAAGGGATAGGGGGGGAAAAAAACATTTCTAGCATAAGGCTCTTAAAAATTCACCTTTATTAGGCTTGATTTTTGCCTGGGTGGAACAAGTGGCTCTATAACAGCCCCTTACATGAGCTAATTGTACTAGCTTTGGCTTATCTAATTTCGATTCAAAGCTGCATGCATGGCTTACAAGGCTCTAATTGAAAAGGGGTTGCTGTCTTACAAAATTAAACCACACAAATGTCAGTAGGGAAAAATCAAACTGTCTAGAACTGACTAACTAACTTCAAAATGGACATGGAAATGATATCAATATCATGTGTGTGAGGGGGTATCAGTTCTCTTTTTAAATCAACCAAAAAACAGCCAGTGATCTGATCTTGAGACTCACTAAATGACTTTGGGAGCCTCCTACTAGAAATGACATGTTAGACTGGTCTGAGGATCTCAGGTGATCTACCAAACTTCCAGTGGTGACTAAGCTAATCACAAGGGGCTGCATCCACTTTCTCTGGGCTTTTTAGAGGAGAACAGTGCCTGTTGGGGCATCTTATGTCTGTTGGTTGTCACCTTTCACTGTCACATGGAAAACTGCATTAGAAAGAGGTAAAATGCACTATACAATTCTGTAGTAAGAGACATTAACCCCATGGGAACTGCAGAAATAATTAGGACCAAGGAGGTCGTACAATATGTAAAAAGGGAAGATCCATGCTCCAAAAATGCTTTGAACAAACATACATAAGATCCCTTAACAGGGGCAGGCGATTATTTTGGGCAGAGGGCTGCTCACTGAGTTTTGGCAAGCTATCGAGGGCTGCATGACAGGCAGCCAGGGGCAGATAAATATTAATTTTCTAAATTTTTTAGGGACCCCGCAGGCCAGATAGAATGGCCTGGCGGGCCACATCCAGCTTGCGGGCTTCATTTTGCCCACCCCTGCCTTAATTTTGTTATGTTGTGAATGACATCCTAAGTTCTCCTTAAATTTGTATTATTGCCAAATGTTTGTAGAGCTCCATGAAAGGGGAGTTGGGGAACAAGACCAAATAGATTCAGAAATTAAAAAAAAAAAAAAGAATTATCCACAATAGTGGACTTATATTGTGATGGCTCATTGTGGGCTTTCTACTAGCAAGGCCATTTTAAAGGTGTGGGAATTAAGAAACCTCTCACAATGTTGTAATTCACTTCTTTTAAGATGTTAATGCCACCTTGGGGACTCCATGAATGTTTGTAATGTTCTTTTTATTTAAAACCTTTCACAATATAAAGAACAACATGCAATTTAACTTTTGTAGTATTACTGTTCCCTTGGACTAAACAAGTTTCCGGCTCAAAAGCGGCTCAGTGCTCCAGATCAGTTAATGGTTACTCAGAGAGAACCGAGGCAAGCTAAAAATGTAAATATATAGCAGGCATGCCATGTGTCCCACTTCCTTTGTGTCCCTCGGTTGCTTTGCTAAACCCTTTCTTTGGATTTACAGTCTTATTTTGCAAAGAGACTCCCCTCCCCTGCCAGAAGTCCCACAGCAGAGGTTATCAGGCATCATTTCTGCTTAATTCTAAAGTTGGAAGCAGTCACTAAAAACAGTGCTTTCCCACAGCAGCTGTGAGGAACCCATAGCAAATAGGGGAAGTACTGAATAGCTTGCTATGCTGAAAAGGTGACTGCAGAGAAAAACAATATCCATCATAAATTGCTTTCAGGGCTTAAGGTCTTTGCTGAAAAACTTTTCCCTTCCTCCTTTATCCTGTAATATCTCTTTAGGCATCATGCATGTAACACTTGTAACCAAAGACCTATATAACAACACTAAGAAGTAAAGAAATATGACATGATTCAGGGGAAATTTCTTTAACTTGCTTGACTGAGCATCTGTGGTAAGTCTATGAGTTAAAAAGAGGGAGATTGTAGCAGACCAGCATGAGATGGAAATAAACTGGTGTTTAAGATGCTATGCCTTGTATTGAGGTATATGGAGTGAGGGTGATAAGGTTTCAGCATGAGGTAAAAGTAGGGAAAGTCTAAAACTTGCCCAATCCAGCAGGAATAACATGTTACCAGCCTAAATACGTTTGAGGATCTGGGCCTTCATTCTTAAGGTGGAGACAGTGAGGCCATTTGACAGAGTAGGGATAAAAAGCCAAGGCAACATTTGAAAGCCCTAAGGAGTCCCTCTGGGAAGCAGGGACAAAGGTGGTTTTTAAGCCTTTAAAGCAAGGGCAGCTTTGTACCCTTTTCTGGGGTCTCTTCAGAGTCTGATGCATCCCGAGTTTTAAACAAAGAGGAAAAGAGGGCCCTTTTCTAACAGCTGTTTCTGAGCTGCTCCACAGCAGCCCTGAATCCCCACAGCGGTGTCTGCTGGAGGGATGAAACTCCAGCCTCTGACCCCTACCGTGTCTCCTCTGCAGGGGCCTGAACTGGGCTTGAAAGTTGGCGCTGAACGACTCATCCCCTCCCACTGTGTGGAGTGACATACAGGGGTCGTGGCAAGAACCGGGCTCTAGCCAAAACTTTTCTGTTGTCTGCGCAGTGTAAAATTCCTTATTTTCAGTTATGACCTTTTAGGAATTTAATTACAACATTTCTTGGTGAATATCAATATTCTCTGCATACAACAATGGAAACTACTCAAGAATATTACTACAATGTTTTAAATACCACATTGTAGAAATAGCAATATACTACATTAAAAGACAGCATACTGCCCTGTTCACTTGTGCACTTTCACTATTGCCTTCATCTTTCTTCCACAGCTAATTTGTAAAGGACTAATGACTTTGAATGGCTCTTACAATCTTACCAAGACAAAGATTGTCTGGAGAGGATGGCAATGTTTAGGGGGAGCAAGGAGCAGACCCTTTTGAAAACAATAAATGAAAAAACACCTTCAGAGTTTCCTTGGATGCTTGTGGTCTCTGTGACACTACACACAAAGAAGAAACATTAGCTTTGTAACATAGGATGTTCGTTTTTTCAGTTAAGAGCCAAGCGCCTTGAAACATCTAATGCTATTTAATAGGTCTAGTGGAAGACTCAAGATGATTATAACAGGAATTATTCTGTTGCTTCAGTATTTTTTAACAGTGAAATGGCATGCTCTCTTTCACTGTAAGCTGATTTTCATAACACACTGCAGCTGTAAAGTACATGGTAACAAGCACATAATTAACCTAGTCATGAAGCTGCCAGAGAATCTGTTAACTTAGTTGGATGAGGTATCAGATGCTCAGTAGAAGAATTTGGAGCAACAAACATAACCTCACCCAATTATGAAGCTGTGGTCTCACTAATTCTGTTACAATTGAAGTCATTTACAAGAAGTGAGCCTTCAGCTGCAGTCAGCATCAATGCTATTTTCAACAGTCAGGCAAAAAGTGTCCCCTGGGTAATGCACTGACCGTATCTAGTCATCAATACTGTTCACCCAGCTTATACTTAATCCTCTATTGAAAAATTTATCCATCTATATATTTTTCTTTAGACCCTATACCCTGCTTATCAGTGTCATGTACTCATTAAGTTCCTGGATCATCTGCTGTCTTCTCATTCATGATGCTATCAGCTTTGTAAGTTATTCGTGTATTCATTCACTGTACTGTTATCTTTGCGATAAAGTCTGCTTAAAAGCAGTTTAGCTCTATCTGCGTTTCTTTTGACGCAGTTAACATGCAAGCCAATTACTGCATACATCATCTGAAGATTTCCAAGATGTTTCTCTTGATTGGTCTCTCTCACCCTTTTCTACTCAAGTAGACAAAGCACAGCTTTCCTTTGACTTCAGTGTGACTCTGAAAACTATTCACACATATTTCACCAGAAATACTTGTTCGATTTTTCTGTTTAACAGCTATTCCACAGTAGCTCTATCTGCAATCATTTTCTTCCGTTTGCTCTTTTTATCACCATGCATAATGGAAATAAGTCAAATCACAAGCCAGAGAACACTGGGTTCTGATCCCACGGGGCACACAGAAAACACCAGTAAACATAGGTGCATTATGGTAATAAACCAAAGCAACAAACTTCAGACAGCTGTAACATAGTGTTAATCTGTGAAGTGAATTACATTGTGTGGAAACCATTTCCCCTTCTATCTAGACACAAATGGCAAAATGCATTGTATATGGCTATTGCCACAAGTTATTAAAAGAATATGATATGTTGTCATGGAGCATAATTAAGGAAGTAGTCTGCTATCTCCAAATAGTATCTGGAGTTCAGACATCATGTATATGGGCATGGTAAAATCAGCACTTGAATAGAATAACCCTTAGGATATTCATCTGACCCTGACTTCACTGCTTTGGTAAGGTAAGCCAGACAAAGTAGCATCATTTTTCAACTGCCACGTATCTGTTGTGGGCATATTTTTTATAGCTCCAACCACACATACCCACTGATGAATCCTTTCTAAATCTTCTCTAAATTCCTGTGGATCACTCTTGCCTATTCCATTTTTGCTTTTGGTTAGAGGGCGTTGCATTTAAAAAAGAAAAACCCCAGTAATTTCTGCAGACAAGGAAATAATTCTTCTGAATAAACTAGCACATATCTTTTTAAAGGATACTCAATTTTGAATTAGACTACAGGCACTGAAAAATGTAGTGCTTCTTTTGGTAAGCTACTAGAAACCTTGCTGATAAAAGGCTGTAACTTTTCTCTAGTTTGTGAAGTACCAAACAAAAAAATGGACCCCTTTCCCAAAAGAAATAGTCACAGTGACATAAGAGAAGAACATAATGTGGTTTATACCATCCTAAGTTGAATGCTTAATGAAACTGGTTGGAAGTTTGAAGGAGGTAATGGGGGGAGCTCTGCTGATTAGGCTATTCCATGTACATAGGCTGGTATGGAGGAAGGTCTGAAGTAAAAATAAAAAAAGTGAGAAAGTTAGTTGTATCACAGTGAGTGCTTTGACATGTGTGTAATAATGTGCATGTATAAACTATAGAGCTTATTGCCCCAGAGTTTATTACTCCCAGGCATGCGTCTGCACGTGCACCCAGAAGCACAGCATGCTG